TACTAGAACTTTACGTACTATCTCACCATTATGACACCAGAGGTAAGACACACAAATGGATAAAGGAATTTCTCACAATCAGAGTGATCGAAGTTTAGATATCTGACAAAGTGAAAGTAGAAACTGGATTGCCGTAAGGATACATTTTAGTACCAAAGCTATTTCTTTTTTTATATTAACGAACTACCTCCACTCAACAGTGAGACTCGCGGTTTGGGTGCTATAAACAGTTTCGTATAAAAAACTAGGGGTTATTCCCCGACTAAAAATAACTATGGAGGGAAACCCCTGTTTATTTACTTAATTGGTGAAAAAGTATCATGTTTTTTGTATTTGATTGTAAAAATTAGTTAATTAGCTTTCAATTAAAACAGGTTGAATGATTGAAATAATTTTAAAATTATATTAAATATACATGTTTTGAGGGGAGACAACACTGTAAACATCCTGTTTTTTTGGCAGTGAAAATTGAAAACTTATTTGCAGCCACTGTATCTCTTTTCGGAGCAGGAGACCGTACCCTGAAACAAGATTTTTTTGAAAGGCCAGGTAAAAACCTATAAATTTCATACAGTTTTGATTATGTAAAATGTGCATGTATCATGTCTTCATGGGTATGCACGACCTGATTTCAGGTTTTTTATGTTCAAATTAGGCATTTTTTCCCCCATGTTCTTTGGATGGAATTTTTTTAATATATTAAAAGTACATTTTATTTTTATTTCATTATAAACTAGAGAACATTCTGATTCCAGTGACATTTAGTTTTATACAAGTATCTTTATTAATCAGTCCACCACTAAGGGTCACTTATGCATGGTCCCTCAAAATATGACGTCGTAGAAAAAAACTGTTGATTGCACCCTTTGTTGCCGATGATCATTTCCTCAGACAACGACTGCCATAAACTCCAAGATAACCTAGACAAACTGGCAAAAATGGACGAAAAAACTTTTGGAAAATGGAGGTTCACCCGAAAAAAAAGGCAGCGTCCTCACAGTGAAGAATAAAAAAAACAAATAAAAAGGTTGCACCATCCCAATTGATCTAGATTGGATAGAACATATAAACAACATCCCAGGTAAAGCTAGCTGAAGCCTTGGTTTCTTAAAAGACACTAGTAAGACCTTTTAATGGAATACGCTACGACAGTATGGACCCGTATGAACAAAACCATATAGAAAAAAAATCGAAAAAAGGACAGAACGTGTACAGTAACCAGCAGACATAAAAATAAAGCGAGTGTCAGCAACATGATTGAAAAGCTTACAAACGAGGTGTAAACAAGCACGACTCATCGTGTATAACTAAATAACAAATAACCTTGTAGCCATAGACCAAAAAAATCATAAAAAAGAATTAATAAGCTTCAGTCGTAAAGGACATACTACATACCTATTACAGTCAGCTACAAAAGATTGTAGGAAATGGTTCTTCTTTGTAAACAACGTCAAGAACTGGAATAAACTGCCTCCGAATATTGCCACAGCAAAGACTTTAAGTCACATCTCAAGTGACCAACATCTCTAACTAACCAAATCAACAATAGTTTTACCCAGTTATTAATCATACGCAACTTGCCAGAGTATTCAAAATGATAAATGTTGGCAGTATACTGAATAATAGGAGGAAGAGCTCAAAAGCCGTAACTGTAGACAAAAGGGAAGACATAAATATCACACTACCTTTTCCGGGTACCTGACTTCGACCACTCTCTCTCTCTCTCTCTCTCTCTCTCTCTCTCTCTCTCTCTCTCTCTGATAGTTTTGCAAGATGATACGCTAAATCCGCTAAACATTTGGTAAAAATCGTCATAAATGAGCAATAATTCCAAAAAGAAGTCGACTGACGATTTCGGCCATTAGTTTTATCAATTTTGTAGATCTGGATTTGTTGATCAATTTTGCTATTTACAGTTTCTACCTAACTTAAAGCAAAATTTGACTTATTTCTAGATCTTGTCTTGCTGGTCAACTTTGCTATATAAAGTGTCTATCATGTATCTTTTATAGTTTTTAAGATATAATAAGTTAAGACTGAAATTTTTTTTTAAAAATTGGTTAAAACCATCATTAAAAGGTAAAATCACAAAAATACTGAACTCCGAGGAAAATTCAAAAAGGAAAATCCCTAATCAAATGGCAAAATCAGACAAAAGCTCAAACACATCAAACGAATGGATAACAACTGTCATATTCCTGACTTGGTACAGGCATTTTCTTATGTAGAAAATGGTGGATTGAACCTGGTTTTATAGCTAGCTAAACCTCTCACTTGTATGACAGTCGCATCAAATTCAATTATATAGACAACGATGCGTGAACAAAACAAACAGACACAATAGGTAAAAATGTCAAAAATAGGGGTACAGCAGTCAACATTGTGTTATCATCTTAATCACTATAAAAACAAACAAATGTAACGAAGAAGCACAAAAAGGCATACATCAAATTTAATATCCTCATTTTTCTTTTTTATTATACGATTTTATTTATCTATGTAAAATCCACCCATAAAGGATGGAAGGTTTTAAGTACTGGCGTAAAAACGCGCGTTTGAAATTCGCACAGGTAGACATAAAATAATTTTGTCGTTCTAAGTATGACGGGATACATAAGTACAGAGTCACGTAAAATGGATATCACAAAAAACAGACTTAACAATAAAAGTAATATTAATAAAAAAATAGCTCTGTGGCCCAAAGTATGACGGGATACATAAGTATAGAGTCACGTCAAATGTATATCACAAAAACAGACTTAACAGTAAAAGTAATATTAATAAATAAAATAATTTTGTCGTTCAAAGTATAAAGGGCAATAACTCCAATAAGTAGTCGTCGTAGGTCTTGTCGTGCTTATAGTTTTTGCTTTTCAAAGTTTCTCTCTTCAAAATGACAACAATGGGTAAAATTCGTTATTACAATTACAATTACTCTCAAAGAAAGTGTGGTCTGACAGTTTTGATGTAAATTGACAGTGGATAGATCTCAAAATTCTAAACATTTCTGCTCTGTCGGATTTTCTTTACTTATACTGCTGTTTTCCAAAAAATAGACAAAACTTTCATTTTACCCCTTATGTTCTATTTTTAGCCATGTCGGCCATATTGGTTGGCGACCGGGTCATCGGATATATTTTTCAAACAAGATACCGCAGTGATGATTGTGGCCAAGTTTGGTTAAATTTGGTCCAGTAGTTTCAGAGGAGGTTTGTAAACGTTAACGGACGACGACGGACGACGGACACTTAGTGATGAGAAAAGCTCTCTTGGCCCAGGTGAGAAAAGCTCACTTGATCCAGGTGAGCAAAAAACGAATAAAAAACCATGACCAGAAGAAAAATGACGAAAAGACAAACAGCAAAACATTGCACAGAAAATAAAAGATTGGCCAATACGAATCCTACAAAATTAAACACTTGGGTTGAACTTTTGCGTTCCAGAAGGGCAAGTAGTTTATGCTCTATTAGTGACACCCATCGTGTTACTTAAAGTACGAACAAAATCGATGATAAAACGAATTCTGTGTTGTTACAATCGAGGAAAAGAGGACTGGGCTGTGACTACGACAAGTGGACATCTTTGATACAGAAATTCAAAATCTGTCACCTACCAAATCATGATGGCGTTCGTACAACTTTCAAAGGAATTACTTCAATTTTACCATTAGAAACCCATGGTTCGATAGCTTCCTTCAGGGAAGCAACCCTCTATCAAGGAATTAGTCGCTTTATACTAAGTAACTATAAAATGTACCAATTGTTGAAATTTACATCTGAACTGAAAAGTTATCCTTTTTTAAGAACACAATCTCTGAACTTTTTAAAAAAATGAACACACGTAGTTCAAAGATCCCGTATGTTATAGAAACGTCGAGTTAAAGATGGTTTTGTAACTTTTATTTGAGCATTTCTATCTTTCTTGTGGTGACTTGCGATGACCTGCTTATGCTAATCCATAGGATAACCAGTTTGATTTCTGCATTGGAAACTGCATTATTGCACCATGACGACTGTAGTAAAAGTGGAGCTCAATGGAAACCTCATCTTTACTGGCATTCAATTTCTCCCGGAAGATAACACGATACATTTAATTCAATTAAGATAAGTTATTGTGTCTGTTTGTTTTGTTCACGCATCATTATCAATATTATTAAATTTGATGCGACTGTCGTTCAAGTGAGAGGTTTAGCGCTATAAAACCAGGTTCAATCCACCATTTTCTACATTTGAAAATGCCTGTACCAAGTCAGGAATATGACAGTTGTTGTCCATTCGTTTGATGTGTTTTGTCATTTGATTTTGCCATGTGATTAGGGACTTTCCGATTGAATTTTCCTCGGAGTTCAGTATTTTTGTGATTTTAATTTTTAGATATTGACAAAAAAAGTAAACTTCGTGTCAATTCACCGATTCGGGAAAAGAGGTAGCAAAATATGTATCAATTTATAAGGACAAAGAAATTGTACTAAAACGTCTCCAAAGTAAAGGGGGATAAAAGGAGAGTCCTCCTGGTTAGATACAAACTTTCCATTGATGGTGATTTGTTTAAACTAAACAATGAAGGAGATGGAGTCGAAAAAGTGCAAGATACATGTACTTCAGGTATTACATGTATACAGCGGCGTAACATACCACCAAAGTACGAAAGCTCACCAAACGAACATGTATCATTACAGTATAAATGGAATTCACCTGTTTAAACAAGATTTGACTGTCAAACAGTTAAAAACGCAGACGATTCAGGAAGAAATGCCTCTTTTAAAATTAACATTATGTTTAAGACAGGAAGTCAATTTATTCTACTTAAATGTAAAAAGGGCACGTTATTTCTTTAAATTAATACTTTTCTATAAATCATTTCTTAAAAGACAATCCGGTTAATGTTTAGATGTTTCTATGAAAGCCTCCTGTTTCAACATAGCTGTGACAGAGTGTTACTTCGTTACTATTGTTTTCTGTATATCATTGTAATCACAAAGGTCATTAGAATAAATAGTCTAGTATTAATGTGTCTTTTTAATACGGGAAATATCATAATCATCCTCTGTAGTATTTCCGAAAAAATGATCATAGGTATCTTCATTTCTTTTTTCTACTCTGACATGACTACCTACATCATACACACCATCTTTTGTCTCATTATACACATTGTCGTTCTTCCGCATGACTCTGTCTGTATATTCATACTCAACTTCTGTTTGAGCTGCATCATTGTTAGTTATTTCTCCGCCTGATGTATGATTGCTTCCAGCTATATTTGAAGTGTAGTTGCAATAAACACTTGTGTCATGATTACTCTGTAGTTGTGAAGGTTTAATGTTATCTTGCTGATTTTGAATTCCTTTTAGATTTGTGTTAGATGATTGGTCAGTTGGTCTACTGAATACTACAGAGTTTTCCTTATAATTCAAGTAAATTACGTTTTCTGCATTAGCCAAGCCCATAGTTTGTTGAGGGGATTTCTCATTAGCATAAACATGATTATCATCATTCCCTTCAGAAAATGACCTTCCCGAGTTAGATAACTTGTCAAGAGGAGGTTGTTCCGCAGCTTTATGTTGTATCCTCTTTCTGTAACAGATGTGCATTATTTACATTTTGTCATACATTTTTTTATTTGAGATACACTTATAGAGTATACATTATAATCAAACATACAACACAGTGAAAACGCACCATTAATAGACATTTAGAGGCCATGAGAGTGATAGACAGGTATCCATACTATATGTAAAACGCATAATCGACCCCGGGGATAAGTTATGAAAGCATCTACTAGCAGAAACTACAAAATTCCTTATTGGACATCAAACTCAGATATATATAACGACAAACACTTCGAATTTTGTACAATACTGACATAGTTTCTAGCGTGGGATAAATGGCAAATACGGTGTTAAAAAATATTAATACGGATTTGTTCAAAGGATTAAGACAAAAGTTACGACCCCCCCCCCCCTTATCAAAGCCCTGCTTGGCATGCATGAATTGTTAAAGTAAGCAATCCAAAAAAAAAAAACCGGCTTGGTGTTATGGGATGAATAGTATATTTAATGCCAGAAATCAAGCTTAGGTAAAGGAACTGCGGCATAACTTTATCAACTCAACACAGATCATGTATGGCTTGTTCAATAAAGTAATTATTAACCTGATAAGATTTACTGATTAATTTCAAAATAAAAAGTTAAAAATAATCAACAAAACCGAAGAAAAAACCAGCTGCGATAGGTAGTGTTAATTATGTCTTTCGTATGTATATTTAAATTTTCGCCAATTTAAATATATCATAAAAGTTTCATGAAATTTGACCAAAGTATACTCTAGTAATTTCACAATGTGTGAACGGACGGGTAGATGGATAACGGCATACCATTATAATTCCCGTCTATGATAGACATACAAAAACCAAATGGCCAGTTCTCATCGGTCATAGTCTTAATCATAACCATACGATGTTTATTTAATTGATTTGGAATGTCAAAAGTAAAACAAATCAAGATTTTTATAAGACATGAAAACAGTTATTCAAATTATTGACGAAACAACGAGCAGCTCTTCGCTGTATTTTTTAAAACAAGCAAACATTTTGAGCGTGTATACATCGATAGCATAAAACGTATACATTGTATAGGTCTTAAAAGATTCAAATTTACAAAAAGAAGGTATTTGTGTTCTAATTATTCAAAATCAGCATTGTATATAATTACCTCAATGCCAACAACAATAAAGCTACTATTACGATGGTTAATACTCCTCCTATGGCGCCAATAATTATCACTAAAATATATTATTATACATCAGTAGGTATGTGTTTTATAAAATCATAGACGAATAAATTTACTGTTTTTACGAAATTGTCTGAAAATGACTATTTACCGTCCGGTTAATAGTTTCAAAACTATTTACTGGAAGCAACCATTTTACCGTAAAAAGACTATTTAAATATATGTATACCTGTTAATATTTTCAAAAACTATTTACTGTCAGTCTACAAAACTCTCAAAACCTTTCTATTATTTGAATTCGGATACAATTTGTTTGTAAAGAGGTAGGGCCAGTTTACCCTAAGTTTATTTCACAATAGGGCCATTTTCTCATAAAGGCCATTACTCTTTACTTAAACTCTGAATGTTATAGATTCATATAATATATTTTGATGATTTAATACCATTTTGTCGTATTTTAAAGCGGCCCAAAATATGATTGCCTAAGGATGGCAAAAACTTGCAGTTTGATCATTTTTTGAAGTAATTATATATATATATTGTCTTTTAGATACAAATTAATTTATTTTGGTTAAAGATGTTTTCGCTACATCTTGTAAAACGTGCACATCTTACAGAGTAGTGTCTTAAAATGCAATATGTTAAGCTGAATAACATTTTTATTTGATAGAAGTATGTAAAGCTGGTGACTTTTAAAAGAACATTACATAAATTACAGTAGGTTTCAACGACTTATGATTTTGAACCCCGAGTGTGGATCAATTTTAAATCATGACTGGGGAAGTTGGCCTTACTTCTTTCCGGTTTATAAATAACGTCATTACTTTTGGGTTGCAACTCCGTCTTGCAAAGTTGACAATTGATGGAGTTAGCTGTTGTTTACCGTTTTTGTTTAAACCCTTTTAATCTGTTTACGTTTTGGCTTTCCAAACTATTTCCTAAACACGTGTCGTGAACACGTTATTGGGTTATCATACGTGTTTTCAACTAATTCATAAATCATAACAAACGTGTTATTCTGACAAAATATTATTCAAAACATACGATGAATCTTGTCGCATAGTAACGTCTTTTACTAGCCTAAGGGTTTTTTTCTTCATAGAAATCAAAATTTCTTTATGAACAATCAAAATCTCCAGTGCAACAATTACAAGCATACTCCCAAGCTTTTTAAAAAAGAACATAAAACATTTTAGAAAACACTTCCCTTATGACTTGCCTGTTCCATTTTGCTCGTCGTTGTTCCTTGTGTCATCTCTGATCGAAGACGCAAGGTTTTCTACAATGAATGTATTTAATCTATTGTAAGCAGACATTTATAAAGAATGACTAAGTCGCCGATTTTCATGTGTAGCAATTTAGTTTTTAAAACTTTTATTGGCATTAGCCGGACATTTTGCACAATAAGTGAATGATACATATTCTCTCTGAGGCAAGAAAACATAAATTTAATTAATATATGAGGAAAGACTTACATTTGACAACGAATATATAGTTGCAATTCTGTTGACGCAAATGGTGAAAGCGTGTCGCATACACATGAAGTATAACAAATGGGAAAACGGATGAATTAAAAAAATGAGACGACGGAAAAAACCTGTTGTACAGCTGAACAACGCCAGCATTGCCGCGCTGTCGGCTACCCAAGTCAGAATTGCACAGATCTCGAGTGATTAGGACACATACAGGTAAGTTTTGGCTGTCCGTTATTTTACATTAACGGTGATCTTACCGAAAAAATTATGGATAAAAAATAATCTTTCATAACTATTCATACTTTAAATACATGTGTTAATAGAATGTTTATCTCAATTGCAACTGAAGGTTTTCAGTGAAAGATCAAATCTCGCTGTCAAAGACGGAAACAAAAAAGCTAGTATTGCCTTAAAAGAGAGGCGAACGATACATTATTTAGTTGTCACTATCAAATGTTTGTGAATATATTTGTATCTGGAGAGGGTTGTTTCTTATTTTATCAAACATATCGTCCAATCCCCTTTGCTATTATTGCAACGAAAATAAGTTTAAACTAAGCCATCATTGCACCTACTACTTTAAGAAAATTCTTCAAAATATAATTTTGAAAGGTGATAATCAACATGAAAAAAACTAATATACCGAATGATAAAATAAAACAATTAAAAATGAAATAAAACACAACGATTTTATGATTTATATTTTTTTACTATTATATTACACAAGCCTAAAATTATGTTTAAGGTATCTATGATGAGTTTATACTATTCGTACATGAAAATGTAAATCTGTACGTTAGAATAAAATTTACATACCAACACAAGAATAATTCAAAGTCGCATATATTGGCTCGTAGCAAGACAGGTCGTCTCTTAATTCAGCACTATTCTCAAGAAGAGAACAATAGTCTCTACCAATGTACATTTTGTCGGGACTTAACGGGAGCACTTTGTTCTTCGTAGTTGTAACAGATTTGCAGGTTCCAGATGAATTTTGAAACGTTACATTTATATCTTTTGCACCAGCATTATGCCTGCAGTTAATGGCTGTCTTGGTATTAGTAAGCACACCATTGGCTGTTTGTTTAACTTTAAAATGAAAAAAAAAATAAATTAAACTTCAATTGTCTTCATTCAGCACATCTTTTAAATATTCTACCGATTCATAATATCTGATAAATATTGAACAGTCTCTAAAGAGACCCATCATATCAAACATTCGACAACTAATTTTTTTAAATGTTAATATATGATTTTGAAATTTGTAAAACACAAAGTAATAGTTCGCCATTTGTTTGGTTTGGTTTCATTTTGCTTGCAAATCTTACGATTGTCATTCAAATGTGTGTTTTTATCAAATTTACTGAAGACAAATCAGCAGTAGTCAAACTATAATTTTGGTTTATGTGCGTTTTATGTTTTCTAACTTGTTAAAAATACATTCATTTAACATGTAATAATTAAAATGGTCACTTGTTCAAGTACGTGATAGGTAACTTTATATTCAATAGGTTAATTATTATCCAAACCAATGATTTTACGTGACTACTACATCTTAGTCCCGGGGACTGATAAATTTAATACAATGTGGTATTTCACACCTAGTTTTCCTGTAATATAATTTATAATGCAGACGCGTTGAGGAGTTGTCCTTCAAATCTTTAGTTTTGTCTTTATAGACTTACTGACAAATGTGAAACATTATAATCCTGTTGATTGTATTATTATTCGGGGTTAACATTATTTGTCATATTTATTACAGTTTGAAACAAAACTTAATATTTTTAATGTTCTTCTGATTTTTTCTGCATTGAAATATTCTTCAGATTTAAGCTGATGCATTACATAATATGGACTATTACTGTACTTTTTAATACGTTGCTGTATAAAATCTACTCTAAAGTAAAGCAGCCGATTTATTAGTGTAGTATGACATGATTTAATATCAGCAGGCTAAGTACCTTAAGCTTGCTTTCAGAATCTATAATATACGCGATTTTTTTTTTCTCAAAGGTATTGTAAATTATTGTGACGCAATTGCACTTGTCTTATTGTCTATTATACCGGTATAATATACATATATGCGTTAATTTTCTGTTTCTTTACTAGTACGTTCTTTTATGTACCCTTTGCTATTTTACTGATCGAGATTAAAAGGGTATTATGATTGAGATCTAAAAATAAAGATGATTTAACCCCTCCACATATTCATTTGCCTGTCCAAATTATGGAACCTCTTAAGCAATTGTCTATAGTTAATACTTCTTTTATATCATAATATGTAATTTTTGATTGCTTCTAGTATTTGAATTATGCAAACGTTTTTATGGATCTCGTGGAATTAGAGCTTGACATATTGTATTGACACTGGTCTGTTGTTGAAGACCGTATGTTGACCTTTATACGTTCACCCGCACCTCTTTTTAGAATTATTTTACTAATAACTAGAAGCCATGACATTTCATTGTTTTTATGCCCCACCTAGGGGCATTATGTTTTTCGGTCTGTGCGTCCGTTCGTCCATTCGTTCGTCCGTTCGTCCGTCTGTCCCGCTTCAGGTTAAAGTTTTTGGTTAAACATTTTTGATGAAGTCCAATCAACTTGAAACTTAGTACACATGTTCCCTATGATGTGATCTTTCTAATTTTAATGCCAAATTAGAGTTTTGACCCCAATTTCACGGTCCACTGAAGATAGAAAATGATAGTGCGAGTGGGGCATTCGTGTTCTATGGACACATTCTTGTTCTATAGCTATTACACTTTTTAGTTCACTTTAAAAATTTTAAATCCGAAAGAAGAGTTTATATCATAGATATTTATGATTCATTATAACTAGCATAAAATCGAGTAAAGCGTTACATTTTATGATAGCTGGTCCAAGAACACAACGGTGACAAAAAATCCATTTTCTTTGAATTAAGTGTATATCTTCATTTCTCTGCTCTGTTTTACGGGATGGAAATGAAAGTAGATAGCTTAACTATTTTTTTATGTTTTGTTTTAAATGTTCATTTGATGGATTTATGGATTATACCTTGTGTATGACGGTAATATTTACAGTTTTCTAAAATCTCTCAGTGACTTGTCGAAACCCACTGTATATCATGAATTTTTCTCTGATTGCTTGATTGATTGTTGGTGTTTAACGCCATTTTAAGCACTCATGGCTCTATTGTGGCGGTCAGTTCTTATTGGTGAAGGAAGCCACACACATGGAAAGAATAACCGACCACCAGCAGGAAAACTAGCAATCCTAGTTAATAAAGATTGGATTGGAACTCACATGCCACAAGCGAGGTTCAAACTCACAATCTCTGAGTTGAAAGGCTAGTGATAACTGCAGATGAACTACTGAGACCTCTTAATTGGCCACCGAGGTTCCTCAATTTTTAAAATGTAAAATTATTAGTGGTCTATGGCCAAAACAAATCAAAATGTTTCAGTTCATATGCAAATAAAAAGATGTGGTATGACTGCAAATGAGACAACTCTCCACAAGAGACCAACTGACACAGAAATTAACAACTATCATAGGTAACCGTACGGACGTAAACAACGAAACCCACACCGCATAGTCAGCTATAAAAGGCCCCGAAATGACAAATGTAAAACAATTCAAACGAGAAAACTAACGGCCTAATTTATGTACAAAATAATGAACAAAAACAAATATGTTACACAGCAACAAACGACAACCACTGAATTACAGGCTCCTGACTTGGGACAGGCACATACAGAATGTGGCGGGGTTAAAACTCGTTTTAAGGCGCCAACCCTCCCCAACCTCGGACAGTGGTGTAACATTACAACATAAGAACAAACTATAAAAATCAGTTGAAAAAGGCTTAACTCATCAGATGGATACAAATAGAAATACATACCTGTATTCATATTATATACCGACAATTTCCAACCACCACCACATATATCGTCTCGGTTATTTCCGCAAACCGTAGTACACCCAGATGAAGCTTTATATGGACCTTTGCCTAATTTTTCTCCATTACCACAATAACATTCGTTTCCATTCTAAAACACAGTTATAATATAACAAATTATTTAGAATTTTCCAATTGTATCAAATATATTCTGTAGAAACTGTTATATTCATATTTTCAAACGAATAAGAACAAGTAACTTTTCGTACAGATGTACTTATCGAAAATTTCAAAAACAAATATAGAAAGAAAAAGAAATGTATGTGAAGTTAGCAGCCGGTTCGTTATTCGTTATTCGATATTCAATATCCAACCGGCTGCTAGCAGTCGGTTCGATATTCAAATTTTCTAAGTTGAATATGATAAAAAATTTAACATTCGATAACATTCAAAGCATGATAGTTATTAGTTAATAGTTGTAAAAATTAAGAGATATAGGAAATCTTTTTTTGTGACAAATTCAAGTTATCGTAAATTCTCGTTGTCCTCAAATATAAACTCGTATGTAAATCGAATATTTCTCTTTATGACCTATAGTTTTTATAGAATATAAACAAGAATAACATTTCAAAAGATGATATTTTAAGACTTGAACAAAAAGAAACGATCCCTCTATTCAGATTTAAAAATATCAAAAGAAACAACTATGGAAAGCCCAAAAAAATTATGATATTATCTATTGACTAAATATTCAGCTATATCCAGGAACGAGGGCCAAGGGGTTGGCTAGATCTTCCTGATCTCTCAATCTTTATAATATTATGCATATAGTTAGTTAATATATAGATATAAATGACATCAAAAGGAATTTGAGTTAATTTTTCGTCTTCTAAGTTTATGGAGGGCTCAAAGTGCCAGTTTGATATTCAAAATTTAGAGTGAAAACCTACAGGAGACCGCTGAAACAACAGTGAGACCCCCTGGTCTTTCAATAGCCACAACATTGAATACTATTGTAGACTTTGTATATATACATATGCTGTTAAAAGAATTTCGCAGAAACATGTGATCTTCGATATGTACGGAGGGCTTAAAGTGTCACTTTTCAAATAAAAATCGTAAAAAATTCAGGTGAAAGGGCACAGGGCGTTGGCTAGATCTTCAATCTCCCAATCTGAATATTATTATGCATATATTTAGTTAATATATAGATATAAATGACATCAAAAGGAATTTGAGTGAATTTTTCGTCTTCTAAGTTTATGGAGGGCTCAAAGTGCCAGTTTGATATTCAAAATTTATAATGAAAACCTACCGGAGACCGCTGAAACAACAGTGAAACCCCTGGCCATTCAATAGTCACAAAATTGAATGCTATTGTAGACTTTGTATAGATACATATGCAATTAAAAGGATTTCCCAGAAAAATGTGATCTTCGATATGTACGGAGGGCTTAAAGTGTCACTTTTCAAATAAAAATCGTCAAAAATTCAGGTGAAAGGACACAGGGCGTTGACTAGATCTTCCTGATCTCTCAATCTTCATAATATTATGCATATAATTAGTTAATATATAAATATAAATGACATCAAAAGGAATTTGGGTAAATGTTTACCCAAATTCCTTTATGGTCATTTGTATCTTTATATTAACTAATTATCTGCATAATATTATGGAGATTGAGAGATCAGGGAGGTCTACCGTCTAGCCATGCCCCTATGCCCTTTTACCTGAATTTTCGACGATTTTTAGCTGTAAAGTGGCAATTTAAGCCCTCCGTAGATATAGAAGATGACATTATTCTGGGAAATCCTTTTGATACGATCTGTATATATAAACATAGTCTAAAAGATCATTCAATTTTATGGACATTGAATGACCAGGGAGGTCTCATCGTTATTTAAGCGGTCTCAGGTAGGTTTTCACTATATATTTTGAATATCAAACTGGCACTTTGAGCCCTCCGTAAATATGGAAGACGGAAATTTTACCCAAATTCCTGTTATGGTCATTTGTATCTTTATATTAACTAATTATCTGCATAACATTATGGAGATTGAGAGATCAGGGAGGTTTGGTCATGGCCCTGTGCCCTTTTACCTGAATTTTCAACGATTTTTAGTTGAAAAGTAACAATTTCTTTTTTTGTGCTTCCCATAATTATTTCTATTGATATTTTCAAATTTTACTAGAGTGATCGTTTGTTTTTGTTTCTAGAAATATCATGTATAAAAGTACATATTTGATTGTATTATAGTGATAACATATTATATTTCATAAAGACATTTATTTCTATTCCGTTATATTTGGATTTTCCCTATTCTATTTCTATCTTTAGACTTGTGGTACAAGTTTGGCTAGTATGTAAATCAGAAGTGGTCTGATGTTACTGTTGTTTTCTGCACGAATATTTCGAGGGCGGTAGTACGGGTGGGGTTTTATAGGCATATATAAGTCCTGATTACGTTTGATTATTATCGATGTGCTCCAGTAACTTTGATAGACGAAGTTAACGTTAAGCTCTGCATAATATGTCCGAGGAAGGCTCCGACCATGATGAACGCCGTGCTACTACTCAACATGCTGAAAATAGTAACGAAACAGAGTTAAGTACGGATGGGACTATTTCGCTTTTCACTTCAGCTTTAAACAATGCTTTAGAGAAGCAAAAACATTCCTTGATTAATCATTTCGAAGCTCGTTTAGGAAAAAGTGTTAAAGCAACCGGTGTCGACCAACCAGAATTTGTATTCCAAAGTGAGGGAATTAAAGTGCAACATTCGTTTAATACCGAGCGTCTGGAGAGGCTTGCTGCCGTTGAAAGTTGTATAAAGCTTGGAAACGCTTCCGAAGTTAGTGAAATTATTACCCAGGAAAAGGAAATCATCCGTAAGCGTAACAAAATTCTAAAGATAGCCGACAAGCATGGATGGGACACGGTTAAAGAGTACTTGGATAGTCCGTTGGCCGACAATAAAGAAGATGCTAGTGATTTGCGTGCTGCTATTTCCAGGGCTTCTCGTAAAAGAAGTTCCAAGCCGTACAGTAAACCAGAATCTTCCAATAGTGGTTCCGGAAAAGGAGAATTCAATTCCAGGAGTTTTTTTCGTGGCCTTGGCCAAGTCAGTGATACCGAGTTCTCCAAAGCAGGCAAGTCAGAAAGTTACAAGTGTTTCTATTGTAACCAGCCCGGGCACTTTGCAAGGAACTGCCCCGAAAAAAGGATTCCTACAGCGACAGTTGGTGCACCAAAGTTCCAGGAACAGAACACAGGAAAGACCCAGTAACAAAACAGATACAGACATAGATGAAGTTGAGTATTGTTTTCAATTTGTTAACAAGTATGAGAAAAAATCTTGTCAAAATCTTATAAATGTTAAAGGAAATTTAAGAAAACCTGCATTGTTTTGGAAAAATGTACTTAACGCTAATGATTTTATAATGAATGTTATTAATTTTGGTTATAGAATTCCTTTTCTGAGTACTGAACCACCGACTATTTTTCTAAGTAATAATAGATCCGCGTTAAAACACTCAGAATTTGTGGAAAATTCTATTGAAGAACTTTTAACTAAAGAATGTATAAAAGAAGTAAATCGACCATTTGTCGTTAATCCACTTACTGTGTCGGTAAATAGTACGGGTAAAGAAAGATTAGTCTTAGATTTGAGACATGTTAATAAATTTGTCGAGAAACAAAAAGTTAAATTTGAAGGGGTTAAAGAAGCTATGACATTTGTAAATTTTAGCGGTTTTGGGTTTAAATTTGATTTAAAGTCTGGTTATCACCATATAGAAATTCACCCTGATCATCAAAAATATTTAGGATTTTCTTGGCAATATGGTGATACAGTGCGTTATTTTACTTTTTCGGTTTTGCCTTTTGGACTTTCATCAGCTGGTCATATATTTACCAAGACAGTACGTGTGTTAGTTAAATACTGGAGATCTTTAGGATTTCCCATGGTGGTTTATTTAGATGATGGTATGGGTACAGCAGAAAATTTTGATACATGTTTTGAATTATCGAAAACAGTAAAAAATTATTTACTGCTTTCCGGTTTTATTGCTAATACAGAAAAGAGTGTCTGGGAACCAGTACAAAATATTGATTGGTTAGGTTTTGTTTGGAACTTTAAAGATTGTACTTTAGAAATATCGCTTAAAAAATGATTTGCTTTAAAGCTGGTAATATCGAGCGTAGTAGATGGCAAAACTATTTTGACTTATAGATGTATTGCTAAAATATGTGGAAAAATCATTTCTATGATTCCTGCTCTTGGTAACGTTTGTCAAATGATGACGAAGCATATGCATATGCTAGTCTGTTGTAGATCTGCATGGGACGATGTCATCCCTATAAATGACAACATTTTGAAGGAACTAAAATTTTGGTATTTTGAATGCGAGTCATTATCTTTCCAACGCATTGTACCTATAAATAGAATACCACAGCGTGTAATTTTCACTGACGCTAGTCAGTATGCCGGAGCAGGGTTTATAACGAATGATAACAAAATTGTACATTTTATGTTTGATGGTCATGAAAGAAACAAAAGTTCTACATGGAGAGAATTGAAAACTGTAGAAAAGAATATTTCTTCTTTTAAATCTGATTTAACAGGAAAATTTGTTAAACTTTATACAGATGACCAAAATGTAGTACAGATTGTTAAAAAAGGTAGCATGAAAGTAGAATTACAAGACATTGCTTTAAGCTTATTTCATATTTGTTTGTCACATAATATTTTCTTGGATGTTGAATGGATACCTAGAGATAAAAATACTTATGCAGATTATCTGAGCAAAATTTTTGATTATGACGATTGGTGTGTTTCCTATCAAATTTTTATATATTTTGATAAATTATGGGGACCATTCACATGCGATCGTTTTGCAGATTCGAAAAACAAAAAAGTAGACTATTTTAATTCTAGATATTATTCACCAGATACTTCCGGGGTTGATGCTTTCGCAAATGATTGGTCTGCTCATAATAACTGGTTAGTTCCACCAGTTTGTTTAGTTAGCAAGTGTTTAAATCACATGCGGTTATGTAAAGCTAAAGGCACTTTAGTTGTACCTAAATGGCCATCAGCGTTATTTTGGCCTATCTTAGTGAATAGGTTTTCAGACAGATTTAAATCTTT